GTTAAGCTTTTGATTCAGGAATTATGGTTAATTAAAAGTGATTGGGATGATAAACTTCCTGAACATATATTACAACGTTTTATAAAATTTAAAAATGAGTTACCACGATTGACTGAGTTAAAGATTCCAAGACATTTAGGTATTGTTGATGGGTGTAATGTAAATATTTTAGCTTTTGGAGATGCTAGTATTAAAGCTTATGGCTGTTGTATTTACATGCATGTAACACATTCAAATTTGAATATTTCGGTAAATTTAATTTGTGCAAAATCTAAAATTGCACCTTTAAAAACTCTTTCTTTAGCTCGTTTAGAATTATGTGCAGCCTTGTTATTATCTAAATTGGTACGTCATATATTGGATACTTATAGTAATCGATATAAAATTAATAAAATTTTTGCCTTTTCTGACTCAACTATTGCATTATCATAGATACATTCCTCCCCTCATCGTTGGCAAACATTTGTAGCCAATCGTGTTGGAAAAATTCAGGAGAATTTAGCACCTGCAAATTTTTATCATATTAATGGAATTGAAAATCCAAGTGATTGTGTTTCACGAGGTCTATTACCTTCACAATTGATAAATCATTCATTATGGTGGAATGGCCCTTTATGGGCTAAATTTCCAATATCAGATTGGCCAATTAAGCCATTTGATATTAAAAAATATAAATTGGAGATTCCTGAAATAAAAAAGGAATTTATTACACTTATTAATACATCGTATGAAACTTCAATTATTTATAATCTTTCATTAAGAGTTTCATCATGGACTAAATTATTAAATATAGTTGTGTATATTTTGAGGTTTATGAAAATAATACAATCAACAAATTTAATTAAGGTGTCTGATTTGGAAATTGCTGAAATAATTATTTTAAAAGAATTACAAAAAATATATTTTAAAAATGAATTTAATAATATTAATAATAAAAATTCCCTTAGTCCCACGTTTAGAAAATTGGATATTTTTCTTGATGATAAAGGGTTAATAAGAGTTGGAGGTCGTTTATCAAATGCAAATATTCCTTTTGAAAATCGTCATCCCATTTTACTTTTAGGCAGAAATCATATTGTAAATTTGTTGATTGATCATTTTCATTGTTTAAACTGTCATGCTGGTCCATATTTGTTGATGTCACTATTAAGGCAAAGATATTGGATTATTTCGGCTAGGAATATAATACGCCAACGAGTACGTTTGTGTAATTTTTGTTTTAGAACATTACCAAAATGTTTAACTCCAAAAATGGCTAATTTACCCCCTGCTCGTGTTCAAGAAGCAAAAGCATTTACACATACTGGTGTAGATTATGCTGGTCCAATAAATATTACTATGACTAGAAGACGAGGTATTAAAAGTCAAAAGGCTTATATCTGTTTATTTATTTGTTTTTCAACTAAAGCAATACATATCGAATTAGCTTCAGATCTTAGTTCTAATATATTTTTAGAAGCTTTTAAACGATTTATTGCAAGAAGGGGTCCTGTTTCATGTTTATATTCAGATAATGCGACAAATTTTATAGGAGCTAAGAGACGTTTGAATGAAATTTATAATTTTTTATATGCAAATGAAACTAAACAATCCTTTCAAAAAGAATTTAATATTAGAAAAATAGAGTGGAAAATGATTCCTCCTTCGGCACCTCATTTTGGAGGTATTTGGGAGGCAAATTTAAAGAGTGTTAAAACGCATTTATATAGAGTTATTGGTAAACAGTTATTATCTTATGAAGAGTTAAATACAATATTAATTCAGATAGAATGTTTATTAAATTCTAGACCACTTTGTTTATTATCTGAGGAACCTCATCCAGAGATTCTTACACCTGCGCATTTTTTAATGTCAACGCCCCTTCAGTTTTTACCATTTTTGTCAAATTCTGATCAAACCTTAAAGGGGAGGAAAAAGTTATTAGATAATTTAATTAGATCTTATTGGAAAAAATGGCATTTGGAATATTTACATACGTTACAATTAAGACAAAAATGGAATACATCTAATAATCCCATAAATATAGGAACAATTGTTTTGATAAAACAGGATGATGTGCCTCCACTTTATTGGCCATTGGGAGTTATAGAACAAGTTTATCCTGGAAAAGATGGGGTTATTAGGGTAGCATTAGTACGTTCCCAAAATGGGATTTTTAAGCGACCGGTGGTGAAGCTTTGCCCTATTCCAACACAGTGATTCTTGCATATTTAATTTTAACATTAAATTTTATTATATTTATTTTATTCAAATATTAATTTAAAATATTTTGAAATTTACATTTCAAAGCCGGGGAGCATGTTTACGCCACAGGTTAGTTTGAGTATGTAGATTTTTTGATTTGTTTGCAAGTCTATTTGTTAATATAAATTTAGTCGGCTATGGTTGCTATATATATATATATAATAATAATAATAAAAAAGTCATAAAAAATATTTACATCAAAAATAATAACATAAAAAATATAATAAAATATACCTAATATTAATAATATATTAGATTTAAAAAATTCATTATAATTTTAATAATAAATTATATATACATATTATATAAAATAAAACTAAACATAAATAATAAAGTTAAAGAAGCATAAGAAATAAAGAGATAAGGAATAGATAACAAGAAGACACGAAATAAAAGAAAATAAAGAAGTTAGAAAAGGAGCAAAATAAAGAAGTTAGAAAAGGAGCAAAATTAAGATGTTAGAAAAAGAAACAGAAGAAGGAAATTAGAAGCAAGAAATAATAAATTATAACTGATAATTATTATAATATATAAATATTGACAAATAAAACTATTTGTAAGTATAATCTTTTGAATCTATTTATTATAACTAACCTGTGGTGTAAATACACACCAACTGTTTTATTTTAGTGTTTTTTAGTAATTTATTTCTGTAAGGGTAATTTGTATATACCACAGAGTAAAACAACATACCCATTAAGTTTCAATCAATCAGTATTGAAATTACAAAAGATAAAACACTATTAATGTTATATTTAATTGTTATAATTGTTGCATAGGTAATTAAGAGTTTATTTTGTTGTTTCATCTATTAATTTAAAAAGTATGTACAAACTATGTATATAAAATTGTTATCTTAATAAATACATTTTAAAAATCTGTTTTATATTATTTTATATTAACACAACATGTATAGAGAGTTCTTTAATTTATGGTATAATTCATATTTATAAATAATACCTATTTTAGAATGCAATCTGGGTTGCATACCGAATTTCCCTAAACAAGGTAAAAATATTACATCTGGCAACATTGCTTCGAATCTGACATTTTTAAAATGTCAAATGACATAATAATTTTATGTCAAAAAAATTGTTAAAAATTACATTTTCAAACTTAATTTTCTCAAAAATTACTTAAAAACCCGCATTTTTTATTTTTGATATTGTCTATTTAATGATGTCAATAAAAATTGGAAATTCGGAGTGAGTTAAAGTCGACCGGCCCCTGGACATGCGCTGTAGGGTGACAGCCATAGATAATAAATCATGGTGACAGCGCGTACACAGAACATAAGCGCGTAGACACAAAATATTTAAAATACATGATTGTTTAGTATTATTTAAGGTAGGTGTTCAGTTTATTAAATAATTTGTGTATCTAAATCTTAGATCTAAATAGGATATTTAGATATTGTTTATGATCAATGTCTTTCATTTTTAGAAACGTTGCTTTGTAAAACCCCGTAGTTTCCCGGTCCAACGTCTTGTTCGATGTTTTTTTTCATTATACTGCCCAACTATGAAGAAAGGCAGTAACTACAAATGCGTTTTCTTCTGCTATGATAAAGCTATGGACATTTTGTATCTTAATTCAACAAAGAAATGCAGTAAACTATCTTTTAAGTTAAATAAATCAGTTAAATACCTACTGCTTTTTATAAAAATGTAGGTAGTTTATGCTAATTTCCCACAAATTTCTTGTCTAGCAGTTACTGCCTTTCTCGATAGTTGGGCAAAATTGTGATCACTGCACTAATATATAAATGATTATCTTTCATATTTACACACAAAGGGTAAAACGCAAAATATAAACAAAAATAAATGTCAACCATTTTAGGTATCATCGCGCATGGTTACGAAATTTTACACGGAAATCTATAAATTGACTTTTTACAAGACGCACAAATCGTACGGGCACGACTACGGGAGGAAGGAAGGAAGGCAATCTATAATTTAGGCTTAAGATTTTATGTTACGGTAAAACCACAATCCACACAACATGTGGATTGTGGGTAAAACTAAAACAAACCAACCAACCCTCACAACCCAACACTTTTTAACAAAGGAACAACAAATTTATGAAATAAAAAAATAAAAAAAGTTCAACAACTTCTGAGTATCGTACCTGGTACCTGGTACCTCTCGCATGCCAAGCGACGGCCCTACCATCTGGCTTCACATTCATTTTAAACGCTCGGGGAATAAAAACGGATTATTATTAAGATGTACCCACAATCCTTCGGTCACAAATTCACACAATTGTGGTGGACGTACTATCGCTAACAAAAAAAACTCATACAGCTATATTGTGGCTGTGTGAATAAAACTTTTCCGTCAATGTCAAGCTGACATCGAGCTTTGTCACATCCATTATGACTTTTTTAACAACATTTTCAACCAAACAATGCAGACGAACTCTGGCAAGCCATTGAAGCCATTTGGAAATAGATAAAGCAAGACGGCGACTTCCATGCTTTGCCGTTTGCGGGCAGTAATTGACAAAAACAGATGGATGACGAAATATTATTTTTTTTTTCAAACTTCAACCTAACTTTGTATTTAATTTTAGACCTTTCAAATGTGACGTATCATGTTAAAAGCCATAATTACTCCAACGAAATGATAGAAAATCAGGAACACTAGATTTTTAAGCTGTATGAGTTTTTTTTGTTAGCGATAGTACCTAACGTACCTTTAACATTTCGAATCGCGGCACGTTAGCGTGCCTCTAGTCACAGCATTTTAAAAAAAGAATGTTTTAGAGCACGTTTTTATGAGTTTTTTTCAAAGTACCTATATTAAAGATGTTTGTATCATGTTAAAGACGAAAAAACTTTAATGTTTACATCGGCTTAAAAGTTCAGAAATGATAGAACTCGCCTAGTTAGTTTATATTACGCTTTTTGTTTATTTTAAATTTTATTAATATGGCTAAAAGTTTAAATTTACGAAGCATCGAAGAACTAAGAACCTCCACATTTAAAATAGAAGGTGTACCTACTGTTACCTCTGAAGAACAAGTAATAATAAAATGTAGGAGTCCTTAACCTCACTATTATTATTTATTTTGTTTTTCAGTGTGATACAGAAGAAATAGTTGCTAAGAAATATGAGGATTTGCATAAAAATCTTTTGGTTAATAAAAATTTGCCAGTTTTATTGAGAAAGCAACATATTGACTACTTATTGCAGAATTTGCATTTTCTTCCAACATCGTATCAGGTACATATCTATTTGTAAAAATTGAATTATAGAATAAATTTTTAACTTTTAAGTAGTTTTTGGACGCAAGTAGATCATGGATGTGTTATTGGATTTTACATGCCCTAACACTCCTAGGAACAGACATTAATGAAGGAACTAAATCCAAAGTATCATCTTTTTTAAAAAAGTAATGACCAAAAATATAATTTTTTTGGTTATCTTATGTTGTTTTAGATGTCAACATCCAGATGGTGGTTTTGGGGGCGGTCCAGGACAATTAAGCCACTTAGCCCCAACATATGCAGCTGTAAATGCTTTAGTTTTACTTGGAAACGAAGAAGCATATAATGTTATTGATAGGTTAGTTTTTAATACCTTACTCTAAATTTTGTGGGTAAAAGGCAAAAGAAGAAAAGTCAAAAAAGCAATTTTTTAGTAAAGCCATACATATTTGCATTAATTTAGAAAATATATTTATGGTAAGTGGGTACATGCTTTTGCCAGCACATGTCATATGCTAGCAAAAGTATATACCCATTAACCATAAATATATTTTCTGCAAATATGTTTAAGGCTTTGCTAAAAAATTGCTTTTGTTGACCTATCTTCTTATGCCTTTTATCCACAGATAGGGTCTAATATTTACATTTTAGGTGTAAACTAAAAAAGTTCCTTACAAGAATGCATCAACCTGATGGTTCTTTTACAATGCATGAAGGTGGAGAAGTCGATATTAGAGGGGCATATTGTGCATTATCAGTGGCAAGCCTAACAGACATTTTAAGTAAAGAAACTTTCATTAACACACCTGAATGGCTAGTGACGTAATTTTTTCCCAATGAAACATTTATTAAGCATTTACATTTTTCATTTTTAGATGCCAAACTTATGAAGGTGGTTTTGCAGGGTGTCCTGGAATGGAAGCACATGGAGGGTATTCTTTTTGTGGTCTAGCAGCTTTGTTTATTCTTCAAAAAGGTCATTTAATTGACTATAATGCATTTTTGGTAAGTTTTAACTTTAAACCTGTAGGGGTCATCCATAAAGTACACCCATGTTTAGGGGGGAAGGAGTCTACTTTTTGTGAGATGGGGAGTAGTCTGGATTAAAACCATTTTTGTGGTTTTTAATTATTAATAATATACCGTATTTTCGTTTTCCTGTAGACATTCGATTTTTAAGAGTGGGTGACACCGAACCTATTCCATGTTGTACGCGTACGTTCCGTAGTTTGTCACTGTCAACTCGCGAGTGTGTTTTTCATAGATAACACTTTCTACTCCACGGTCCTATGCAAGATAATAATATTAATTAAATAATAATAATATATAGGTACCTACCTAATATAATAATAATAGCATGGAACATATTGTGATGTCTGACAGAAATAATGATCTGTGCAACATAGCAAGATAAATGTAAGCCTTAATTATGTCTTAGAATGTCTTCCAATAAAGTTTTTCAAGAAATTGGTATCATAGATATCTAGGATTGGTATTATTATGACGTAATAGGGTGCCCCATAAACTGAGTGAAATGCGTAGACAAGAACTAATATCAAAATTACTAAAACGCTCTCATTGATTGTTTTAAGATTAACACTGTGCCAACATTTGTGGAAAATTGCCTTTACATTTTGATGTTTGATTTGAATTAAGAAAACAGTCACTCTCCAACACAACCCAATGATGAAATCCAAATTCTTGTCAACAACAATTCAATTCATTTATTCAAACATTAATGGCTACACTATGAAAAAACATTTAATCAACCACTATGCTGAGGAAAATAATATTGAATGCAACATGTTTGTGGAAACAAACACCATTCTGTGCAATATAGAAATTGGTCAACTATACAGGGTGTTTCAATAAAAACTCCAAGGCCAATTATTTCGAAAACTAAAAGTGACATTTAATTTCTGTAAACTCCAGTTTTTAGCCTCTATGATTGGCTTCACAACTGTGTAAAAAATGTGTTTGAATAATGCAAGATGTAGGTGGCGCCACTGTGCAAAGAATTTTTTCGATGGCAGGTACTTTTAAATTAATTTTTGATCAAATTATGTCCCATACAAATTTTTGATAAATCCGACATGAACGGAGATATTTGGGGCTAAGTTTTTTTTTAAATAATTTTAAAGAGTATTTTAATTAGAAATATTTTTAATATCCTTTAGCAGAATGTTAATTTAATTTTGGTAATGATAATTTTAGTGATAAAACGCTCGTGTAGCGCTAACTAGATTAAAAATATTAAGTCCAGTGACGTCTCAGCCTGAGACTCTCAGGGGGCCCTTTAACAAATATTATTGGCAAAAAATAATACGCCACTGAGGTAATTTTAATATATTTTTCGGAATAAGCAACTAAAAATATCCTTTTTTTGTCTGTTGAATAGTTTTTATATCTTGCTTCGTTTTCGAGAAATAAAAATAAAACCATTTGAAAAACAAAATCATAAATAATAATAATAATACGCTATAGTTTTTGTTTAAAAACAAAGGTAAAACATTAAAACATAATAAAATAAAATTAAAGGATGTTTTAAATTTTATGAAAGAACTGGTGGGAAATTATACAAAATTATTAATGAAAATTAGAACAATACCAAAAACTAACTAATGAGGTCGAATGAGGTGTTCAAAATTATTGCCGTTTTCATACAAACACATAGCAAATCGATATAATAATTCGGTTCTGCAAACTCTTAATAGTGTATGTCGATTAATAGCGGCTATAGAAGCATAAATTTTGTTGTACAGGTCAGCCATGTCTTCTATTGGTTCCTTGTAGACATCATTTTGTAAGCAGCCCCATAAATAAAAGTCCATCGGGGTAAGATCAGGGGACCTTGCTGGCCATCTAAGATCCCTATTTGTGCTGATCACTTTTCCTGGAAATGTCACATTTAGATGATTTATTACGATATTGCTATTGTGTGCTGGGGCACCGTCTTGATGAAACCACATAGTATTTACGTTAATTCTTAAATTTTGTGACAGCAAAGGGAGATCGGTTTGCAGAAATTGTAAATAACGAACTGAAGTTAAATTTTCATGGTACAAATAGGGCCCGACTATGTAACCATTTACAATACCGCACCAAACATTTACCCCAAATCGGGTTTGAAATTTAGTCTGTCACAACCAGTTAGGATTTTCCTGGGACCAGTAGCGACAATTATGTTTATTAATTACTCCATTATTGTGAAACCGGGATTCGTCACTCCACATAATTTGGTTTAATAAATTTGGATATTCTCCCAAAAGAATATGAAAATGTGCCAAAAAGTTTAATCTGCGCTGGTTATCTCCTGGTTGTAGATGATGCCCTAGAAAAAACTTATTTCCTTTTAGGATTCTGCGACACGAACTTAGTGAAATATTAGTTTCATCTTTTAATTTTCGTAATGACGTTTGTGGGCTATTTTCTACTGTTTGGAGAACTAAAGCTACATTTTCGTCATTCGTAACCCTCTTCCTTCTTGGAACCTTTCTCTTTTTAAAACTACCATGTGTAGCTAAGTTGGTACACAAAGCTATAAAAGATTTGCGATCGGGCGTTGGTCTTTCTGGAAAACGAGCTCGATAGCAGCGTACAGCTTCTGAAGCATTTTGAAGGCAATCTCCATAAACTAAAACCATGTTCAATTTGTCTTGATTTGTATGGTGAAACATTTTTATTTTAGAAATGTAGAAATTGCTTACATTGACACTGACATTGAGTGAAGTGAAGAAAAATTTACTTGATGTTTCTAACATTCATTTGTTTTTATTTAATGACTATTGTTTTCCAGAGATATGCAGTGAAATGGTTTTATTTTATTTCTCGAAATCGAAGCAATTCAACAGATAGAAAAAGGATATTTTTAGTTGCTTATTCCGAAAAAAATATAAAAACTCAGTGGGGTATTGTTTTTTGCCAATAATATTTGTTAAGGGGCCCCCAGAGACGTCACTGGACATAATAATTTTAATCTAGTTAGAGCTACACGAGCGTTTTATCACTAAAATTATCATTACCAGAATTAAATGAACATCTGCTAAAGGATATTAAAAATATTTATAATTAAAATACTCTTTAAAATTATTTTAAAAAAACTTAACCCCAGATATTTCCGTTCATGTCGGATTTATCAAAAATTTGTATGGGACATAATTTGATCAAAAATTAATAAAAAAGTACCTGCCATCGAAAAAATTCTTTACACAGTGGCGCCACCTACATCAAGCATTATTCAAACACATTTTTTACACAGTTGTGAAGCCAATCATAGAGGCTAAAAACTGGCGTTTAGAGAAATTAAATGTTTTCGAAATAATTGGCCTGGGAGTTTTTATCGAAACACCCTGTATATAAACATGGCAACATTATCAAAAATAACATAAGAGGTGGTGCTCTAGTGCAAGGTGATCCAAGGTTGAAAATAGGTAAATCAAATCCCCCACATCTTAACAATCCATATAACGATGTTTTACATTGTACTATTCCCTATGGAACCGATAAATTACATATTTTCCTAGTTAACATGCACCACACCAGCAGACTTATAGAGGACAATTTATTTACAAAAGCATCTCAGTATAAATATGCAATCATCATAGGAGACAAATCCAAAACTTCCTAACCAATTCTGATTTTATCCAAGTTTATAATGCCAAATAATAATAACACGACTCCAGACATACTACTATGTACAAAAAACATACGTAATAATATTACAGAAGTGGAATAATACCAGATCTATGTTCCGACCACCTTGCGATCTATTAAAACATCCACAAACAAATGCAGAAAACATAAAATATAATTTTAAGAAAAGAATATAGAAGCCACAAACTACGAAATTCTCTAGTCAATAATTCCCAATGAGTCTATCTCTCCCCAAACACACCCCTATATTAAAAACAAGCTTTTTTGTTCATACATTGCCACCCTTCATTATAAAACTAATTAAAATTAAAAAACAACTCTACAGAGAGATAAAAAACAATTACGACCTTATACTTAAAAGAAAATACAATGAACTAAATATGTATATAAATAAACTAATTTTACAATATCGTTCATTAAAATACCTAAAAGCTTGTCAAAAAATTAATGGGTTAGTCATACTGGTGCGAAATAAAGAAACTTTCAAAATATAAAACAAACAATCATTTTCACTATATAAAAGAAAACAACAAAATTCTACAAACAGAGCATGACATATGGCAGATGCCTTTGCTAGACAATTTAAAAAAAATTATCTTTTGTCTGCTTAATAACTAGTATCTGAGTGAATGGAAAAAAGGATTAATTATTACCATCCCCAAAGCTAACGTGGATCACGCTAACCCTGCAAACTACCGGCCCATTACTTTATTGCCGTAATTGGAAAAACCTTTGAAAAAATAATTAAAAATTGCTTAGAACAGACCATTGGACACAAAATCCCTTTATACCAATTCGGATTTAAAAATCAAACCTCAACAATAAACCCACTAATTATACTAACATCAAATGTACAATCTAAAAGCAAAGAAGGGAATAAATCGGCAGCACTTTTTATGGATATATGTAAAGCCTTTGATTCTGTATGGCACTATGGGTTGCTGAAAAAACTGGTAACATTGAAATGTCCGGAATATCTGGTATGGTTGATAAAGGAATTTCTCACACAAAGAAAATTACAAGTTAAAATTGGCAACACATTATCCTCGTCCTTCTCACCAGAACAAGGAGTACCGCAAGGATCACCGTTGTCACCAATTTTATATAACTTATATTGTTATGACATGTACAACCCCAATCCCCTGTATATAAACGGCTAGAGCTATATTCTACAATTTGCTGATGATACAGTTCTAATAACCCATGGCAAAACGACAACAGAAGCAAGTGAAAAACTACAGGAACTAACCGACCAGGTATCAGCATGGATGTCCAAGTGGAGAATTCTGCCTAGCCCATCAAAATCGCACCTTTTACTGTTTCACCACAAAATTAAAGCAAATTCACCCACT